GTGCCGTTCAGTGAATGTTTGCAAAGCAGACACGCATGTGAGCAGCACCGTGAATTACGTAGAATTTTGCTCATCCTCTCAAAGCTTTCCTCCTGCCTTTCCCTAATTCTATTCTATGTCCTCTTCCAAGTTCACTTATTTTTCCTACAACTGTGGTTTCTCACATTCTTTACAATGCTAATATAGAAGAAAGATATTTCTCCTTTATGTTCAGTTTCTATCATTCAGCTTATTTGTGTCACCACGAAGTTTAATGTGGCATTTGGTTGAATTGACCAAAGGAATGTTTATTTGACACCCAAATATATGTGTATGTGTGTATTTAGTGAGGGTGAAAATTTGATCATGTTCATATATATATATATGGTTGGATGTCAGAAAATTATCATGGCATTGTGACTATTTAAGATTTTTTTCTTTGTATTTTTGAGACAGAGTCTCTGTATGCAGTTCAGGTTGGCCTTGAGCACACTTTGTAGCCTAGGCTGGTCTCCAACTCACAGCGATCCTCCTGCTTCAGCCTCCCGAATGCTGAGATTATAGGAGAGTGCTGCTACTCCTGGTTATTCAAGTTTCAAGAGTATATGAATTTCCAGAACTGATGAGACATTAAGTCACAGAATCAAGAGTCACTAAAATCTTCAAGTAATATAAAAAGAAAAAGCACAGGGACTATTGAAATCTGTGTATCGTTACTGTCTGAGATGGAGGATCTAGGAAGATTATTGAGGACAGCCCTTGGGGTAACACTTTGGAGCAGGGAAATAAATAGCAGGGGCCACATGGAGAAGTTGAACAGCAATAGAGTTATATAAGCCTCAACTAATAACATGGATATCTTCATTGGGATTTGGGGCCAAGGCCTTCATATGTCTGTATCAATCATATAAGTGTGAATTCCCCCCAGAAGGGGAATGTGACCATGAAGAGGATCACTATCTCCTACATAGAGTACTACAAGAGACATGAATTGCATGTCACAGAGAGAATAACTGCAGCAGTTTAAATAAAACACACATTAGTTCTAATCATCTGTAGTCCAAAGAGGAATGTATTGCCAGCCATGCTAACAACAAAAAAGACAATAAATAAGGATTTCTTAAGAACAAAAAGAAAAATCCCAGAGACAGAATTTCCAGAACTCTATAAAGGAATAAAAAGCAAGTAAATTGCAAATATCTCATGATACTAGTACTGATAGAAATCTATGAATATTAAAATTTTATATAAACCTTATTGTCAAAAGAGACACATTTCCAAGAATGGTTTAATAAATGTGTTGAAATGAAGAATATTGGGATTTTGTGGGGGTAAGAGGCCATGAATTTTTATTATAGAAATTTTTATTTATATATTTAATGTATTATTTAATTACCTTTTATTCTGCAACCAGTCACAGCAATTTACTTCAAGTAAAAATATTTCTGTGTGTCCTCTTCCATCTTATTCACTGAACCTGGATCATATGACTAGTGGCTTTTCCTCAAAATCAAAAAGGCCAAGAAAGGTAAATGTTTTGAATTAATTTAGAACATCAAGACAGCTACAACAATGCAACTAAAGACACTCATGGAAGAAGACTTCCAGAACTGTTTCAGAAACCAGCAACAAAATGGGATAAATATGTTATAAGGAAAGGGAGTCTTCTGAGGGGGATTAATGGAAATGCGTTTTTTAATATAATAATTTTTTTTAAATATTCAAACATTCATGGTGTTTTGTGACCATATTGCATATGTGAACATCAATTAGACTGCTGGTAATGTCATCTTTCTGCAGGAGTGTTTTTATTTTTTACAATTTTTTCATATTTTCATGATACTTTACATTATATAACTTTTTTAGTTTTTTATGTGTGCTGCTGCCATAAAATATACGAAGTATACTTTACATGTTAAATCCTTTTATGAATATTTAAAGTATAGATTCTAAAACTGCAAAATTATAATTTTTCTCCTTTCCAACTTACTGATCTTTGAACAATTAGCAATGATTTATGCAAGTGCACAGAAAGAATTTAACTTGATTCTTTTTTTGTTACAAGTATGACTCTTCCATTCATATACTAAGGGATGACTGAAGAGTTTATTTTTTTTATTTGTGGTATCCAGGGGAGAAGACTGATTATATATTCCTTTGTTATATTTAACTATATCGCCAAATTTAAATGGGCTCCATCTCTCACACGAGGAAAATTGCATTTTTAGAAATTGTAGTACCAAAAATAGACCAAAAGGCGGTGATATGATGGGGCAAAGAGAAGTAGTGGTGTTGGTCTGGTTGAAAGAGGAAGATTTCTAAATTTTGAAAGCCCAGGGGCTGGGGATTTAGCTCAGCGGCAAAAGCGCCTGCCTGGCAAGCGCAAGGTCGTGAGTTCGGTTCCCGGTACGGGAGAAAAGCCAAAAAAAAAAAAAAAAAAAAGAAAGCCCAGTTTTTGCCATTGGAGACACAAAGAGGTATCAGGTGGACAGAATGTTCTTTACACATTTCTTTAGGGTCTTATTCTAGTGTCAAAGATCCTTTGATGACTATGAAATGCTCAACACTAATCTTTTCTATTACCTCCAATGACACTCTCCCTTTTTCTGTTACTCACTTTGGATGATAGGGAGGATAGATCATGTGTCTTTCTACTCTCACATTGGAGTTTCTGTAACTATTTTGATATTTCTAGAATTGCTTTTGCTAGTACTTAGTTGTAAATCATTTCATAGTAAGGCAGTATAAAAACAACATTTAAAAATACATGCTTGTTTCATTGCATTGAGAAGGGTACACACACTGGAATTCACTTAACTTTTAAACCTTTCATGTAATAGTACTGTCAATAATAAATTGCTTAATAAAAGATTTGGTTTTCCACATAGGTGCACCTGTACAGACTTTGGTCTTTAAAAACTTCATTTCAAATATAAAACAACATTATTTCCATTTTCCCAGTGATTTTCATACCACTTAATGCTGAGTGCCTCAATGTAGTGGGCTCACTGCACTGGGAAATATTTTGTGGGGTGTCTGCCTTCAAGGTGGTTTGGCTTGTGAGAAAACGGTTGTCAACAGAAAATTCTTTTCCCCTCTCTAAGCTTTAATTTCATCTTTTCTCCTTTGATAAAATGAGGGAATACTAGGGTGAATGGTCTCAATATCCTTTCAATGCAGATACTCAAGCACTTGTATAAAGTGCTAAAGTTTGTCCCAATTTATAAGATAAGTTGCCAATAGAATTGGAAATAAAGCCTCCAGGATACATCTTCAGGTACAGTAAGATGATCCAGCAGAAAGAGAAATTTCACAAAAAAGAGAGTAACAGAATATATGAATCAAGGTGATATGAAAAGTAACATTAAGGATGAAAAAGAAAAGAGAAAATTGAAAATAAAGGACAAAATAAAGGGATATGTGATATAATTACATGGCTGAAAGAATTATTACACGTTTGTAATTCATAATAAATGTATTCATTTGAAGTACTGGTTTTCTAAAGATGTCTGATCACAAACCCAGATGATTCAGTTTTATCATTCCCCTACCTCTCCAATTATGTGTCATGCAAGTGCCTGTGAAGTCATAAATCTCTGTCTTTTTTAGCAGTGCTGCTTTTCCTTTCTTTCTGTACTCATTCCTCAGTACCCTCCTGACTCAGATTTATCTTCTGTCGGCGACCTCCTACATCACTCCAAGTGAACCTGCTCCTGTGCCACTGTCCGCTTCTGTCACATGATTCCTAAATCCAGGTTGGTGCCCCTGTGCTGGGAAGACGGATTTCTAACGTAACCACACAAGGAATGATTTTATTTTAACATCAAACGCTTTTTATTTCTGACTGTGGTGATACGGGCTTTTATGAAGAACACGGTGCAGTAGGATCTTTCAAGAGCACTATCTGGGCACACCCAAATGAAGGATGAGGATAAGCTGATGATACAGGAAATAGAAAGGATGTGGTTACCATAGAGAAATAAATGTCCTAGAATTTACTTTCAGAACTGATATGATACAATTTCAAGTCAGGGTTTATGATGCCCACTGCCTGACCTTTCTTGCTTAGAATTGTTTTTGCTATTGTAGGTCTCTGTGGGTCTCAAATAAATTTCAGGAATGTTTTCTCTACTTCTGTTACATATGCTAATTAGATTTTAATGAGGATTGTATCTGTTTTTTGTTTTGTTTTTGTTTGTTTTTCCAGTACCGGGAATCAACGTCACGTCCTTGCTCTTGCCAGGCAGGCGCTGTGACGCTGAGTGAGGATCGTATCTGGAGAGCAATTTTGAGAGTATGGTCATTTTTACTGTTCATTCTTCCTAACCAAGAGCAAGGGGTATCTTTTCATTTTCTGGTATTCTCTTTGTTCTCCTTTTTCATAGTATTGTAGTTTTCAGTGCAGAGATCTTTTACTTCCTTTGTTAGACAGATTCTGAACTATTATATTTTTCGATGCTATTGTAAAAGGAGTTGTTTACCTAATTTCTCTTTCAGTGAGTTTGTTACTGGTGTACAGGAAGGCTATTCATTTTGAGTGTTGAATTTGTATCCAGCTAGACTACTAATTTGGTTATTAAATCTAGAAGTCTTTTGGTAGAGTTTATGTGTTAATTTCCAGAGTTATCTCTCCGGTATGAGAAACTGAAAGTGTAAATAAGAACCAAAATGTATAACAGATATCTGGAAATAGGAAGAAATTTTCCAAAAGGAAAGAGGAACTAGAGAGGGGTAAGGGGGAAAGGAAGGGGAAAGAAAAATTATGAGAAAGGAAGGATAAAAAGGAAACAAAGCTTTGTAAATAAGGTAGGGATGAGGGATTAAAGGGAGGAAAGGGGAATGGGAAAAAAAGAGAAATCAAGATAGGTCATGTACAGATACAAATTCCCTAGGGTGAAAGTGATCATTATATATCTCAATTGTACCAATAAACTTAATAACAATAAAAAAGAAACACTATAATAGTAATCAAAACTGATACGATACAATAAAAAAACTTGAAACTTAAAAAAACTGCACCCTAGGATTTTGTAGTATTTTATTTGATTTAAATTGCTCAATTAATTTATGATCCTTATTAACATATTCAAGTACATACGTGTGTGTGTGTGTAAGAACACATACAGATGGTATATTTAGACTTTTGAAGGGTAGAGTAAACCAGGATAAGTAAAGCAAATATCTCCTGGTATAATCTGAGTGTAATCTTGCAAAGCTGTCTCCTTATAGTTGAGAAGATCAGTCCATGGTTCCAACTTCTTCTGACCTGGGGCCAAATAATAAATAAATTCCACTTATTAATAACCTAAAATATATCTAAAACTTTTAAGGGAATTTGTGTATAATTTTAAAGGTGAAAGATTTATTTGATATGAAGAGAAACCAGAGTTATGTATAGTTTTAAAAGACTACTTCATGCATGTTTTCTCAGATTTATAGAATAAGTAATATCCTTTACAGTCCACAACCGTTGTTAGTGAGCTAAATTGTACTTACTTTAAAACCTAAATCTTAAACCCTAACTCCCTCTTATACTACTCCAATTCCTAGGATTTCTCCATCTCAAATCAGAATTCCTGGTTTTCTGAAACTCATGGGACTTGGATATACATTTTATAGGTTCAGACTTGGATTTCCATCCCAGCTCTGCTACCCATAAAATGGGAAGTGATATTATCTCTTTTAAGAAATATTGCAAATAAGAAGACGTATGTATAAGACTTTTACTCAGTGTCTCACATGCTGTAGCTATTTAGTTAGAAGTCATGGTTGGAATTTTTGTTTGACATCAAGTCATTTGGTATCAATGAATTTTTGGATTGTGTATGAAACTTGTGTAATCTCACTTTATTATCTACTAGGAAGTTCAGCCCCTTTTTTCAGACCCTAGTGTGGGATCTGTGTCTTCTTCTCCCTCATCCTCACCACCACTCCACAGCTTAAATGGAACATTGAGAAGTCTGTCTTCTAAGGACCACCTATTAGGCTGTGGTGCCTAAGCTAAAAGCTCAGATTTTTAGGATACGTGAAATGTAAAATTTCTACTTCCATAGAAAGATGGTGGGCTGTATAACAATTTAGTTAAATGTGTGTAGTTCTGTATAAATATGATTTATAGCAATTCACTATTTGCTAATAGAACATAGAAGCATTTTACCCCATTCCTTTGCAGAATCAATAATCAGTCACTCATGCTATTATTTAGGATAGAAAAACAAATATCTGCAGGCTAAATATGAAATTGTTTGACTATTTCTCCAGTACATTAAATCTTGAACTTTTCATTTCACATCTTTCTAATTGTTCAGTTGAAGTAGTGCTAATAGTTCTGGCACTTTCATGCAGCCTCTTAAAAACAAAACCCTGGAAAAGTGTCCGTAATCATTAGAGCAGGATTTCTCCCTTTCATAAAACTAATATTTAAATATTTAAGAATACTACTGTTTTGTTTTTTGTTTTTCTTAAATATTAAAATTTTTACAGAAATGGTGCTTATGTTTAGTAATATGTATACATTATATACATATACATATATGTATACAAAATTTTATAAAAACCTATCTAGAAATATTCCTACCAAGGCATATACCTCATAAGAACAAGAGTCAAATTTGATAAATCACTATGTTTTAATGTCCTACAAGTTAAGCCTGATGTGTACAAGTGTCAATGGCTGAATAAAATAAAAAAATACTTTCACACATAAAATGATAGAAAATTGAAATTTTAGTACCATTAAGTAAAATATTACAACACTGCCCTGCTCAATTACTTGTGAATTGTTGTTTTTCTATATTTATTTGAATTTTATTATAATAAGGTAAATTAATTTTAATATAACTATGAGTTGTGCTTTCTGTCTCATACACTTTTCTATTTTAAAGATAAAAGAATGAAGATCTATTAACAAACACACATGCATTTACAAATTAACACGTAAACACATTCAAGGCTGTTTTCAAGCTATAACAAACTTAAGTATGTTTCACACACTCTAAAAGATTTGTTTCCTGAACTTTTGTGAGAAGTTCTGCTAATCTTTGATATGAAATAAATGTAACTGTAAGTAGTCACTACTTCCTTTGCTGTACTTTGGCTCTTACAGTGTACTGCTGTGTTTCAGCCGCCTACAGCCTGTTACTCTCATGGGCTCGCTACTGTGGGAGTCAAGTTCTTTTGCTGTCATCTCAAAGAAATGCATTTGAGTCCAGCTCCCCTACACTCTTCACACCTGCCCCTTCTTCCAGGATACTACTCTGATGTGTATTCCTTCTCTCATGTAAGCGCTATTTTCAACTTCTACTTTTCCTCTCTTTCACCCTGCTAGATAAATTATCCCTTCTCAAAAAAAGACATCCATTCTTATCTTTCTGTCTCATAGAATATTTTCTACACACCGAGTTTTAATGCTATTATAACTTCCCTATAAATAATGTGTGTTCTTGTGGAATTCATATCTTTGAACTAATTCTGTTTTCATCCTTCTATCTGTGTATTCTGTATTTGCACAAATGCATATTAGTTAAGCTACTAAACACAAAGGATGATATACATCTTCTGTCCTTCTAGACAGAAGTTCACCTTCTGGCATGGAAAAAGACATAAAAATTGGAGCTTGTATTAGAAGACATTATTGAGGGCTATGAAGAGCAAAGAGGATAAACTTTTGTTGTATTATCACACGTGCTAATCCTTTTGACTTAACAGTTGATTTATGTTTCCCTGATATGCAATTTCTGAGCATCTTTATGATCATGAAGTTTATTAAACTCCTCTGTTCTAGTAACTCTGGCATCTACTTCATGGTTACCTGCAGCATGGCAGCAATTAGGATCATTCCAGGTGTTGTAAGACACTTCTGACAACAGCATCATTAATTTTGGATTTTTTGCACTGACTAAAACAACTGTTGACCCGTATTCTGACCTCCAGTTCTTTTCCATGTGCCAAAGGCTCACACTGACTTTACTTTTTGCTTCTATTAAACAGAGACATCCTTCAGGTTGTCATTGAGGTCTTTATCAGAGTTTTTTTTTTTTGTTTTTTTTTTTTTTTGGTTTTGGTTTTGGTTTTTCTCCGGTACCGGGAACCGAACTCACGACCTTGCGCTTGCCAGGCAGGCGCTTTGCCGCTGAGCTAAATCCCCAGCCCCTTTATCAGAGTTTTTGAACACTTGTATCCACTACCAACTCTGATCCTGTAATAATTTGCCAATGTTTGTTTCCTCCTCTGTCATTTGTTATGTTGGAATGAGTGCCACTGACAATCATGAATGGGTTCTTAAATGTTCTGTTAAACATGTTCTCTAAAATTATCTCAAGCTGTAATGCTTTATAATATTCCTTAAAGTGTGTATTCAAAACTACATAAGACTTGTAGAAGTTCTCAAATCATTTTCCATTTTCATCACTAACTGCCATTAAGATAAAGTCTGTGGATTTTCCTTTCATTAGATTATGCAGCTTGTGCCTCAGTTTTGTCCCCCACCCTTGTGAGGCCAAATCTACTAGAATGCACACTTAATCATACTTTCCTCAGTCCCCAGTCAAATTACGAGTATAATTATTTCTACCAAAAGTATTAGGAAAAACATCTTCACTCCTTCCAGATGGGTGGAGATCATGTGATCCTCAAAGAGGCTGCCACAGAAAATATCTCCTGTGACAGCGCAACCTGCACTCTGTGTGGGGGAGAAGGAAGCAACCACCGCCCATAACATGGGTGCTTAGTGACTGATGAGTCAGCCTTCTTCTTCAGTGTCTTTCAAATTCAGTGACAAATAGGAACACTGAGGGAGTTATACCCATGCGTGTTTCTGCATCTTAATGACATCAAAGGAAGCCTATAAGAATCAGTTAAGAAGAAGCCATGCCCTCTGTGGTTATGCACATACTCACGAAAGCCATAGAGCATGCAATCAGCTTTTACTCTGGCTTTGAGCATGTGTTAGAAATTGAGTTCATAAAATAATTACAACCAGTTTCAGAATCCCACTACTGTGTGTGTAAGGAATATAACCAGCCCTCCCTGAGACTGCGCTCATTTTTACAATGGAACCCTGTAAATAAGACATGAAGTAAACTTTTGGAACACAATAAGTTCCAATATATTATTAGGTTAGGATTATAGGGAAAAAGCATCATGTCTAATGATAATAATATTCTGTACTAGTGTGTAATGTAGTGATGACCACATTCAGATGCAAGCTTTGCTCAATGTGACATAAGTACTCACCATTATGGGGCAAAAAGGAAGTTGCCTTTAGAAGATTAAGAAAAATAAAAGGAAGTTTTATGTTCATATGCAAATATTAACAAAAATTATATATAAAACATGTAAATGAAAATGAAGTTTGCTTCTGTATATATGCAACCTAGTGGTTATATGTTGTAGCCCCTGTTATGCACCAGCACTGGGACTGTGGCAATGGATTTACCTGACACTTTGTTCACTCTTCCATGGGTAAACCTCAAACTATTGCTGTGTCTACTCTGATTCCCCTTAGTACATGAAAGCTGACACATTTAAAAACATATAGTTTCAAAAAAATTCACCAACCACTCAGTTGCAATCTTTCCATTAAGTTTCCCCTTGATTTTACTATCCCAGGAGCAATGAAATCTTTTTAACACAAATTAAACTAAAAATCATCTATCATCTACTCCCCCACCTTCCAAATTACATTCATTTTTCCCACATTCTCATATGGGTCCCTCCAATGTCTTTTATTATAGTACCTCTTTGCTGAAAACATATTGTCATTTTCTCCTCCTAAGTGTCCCTGCCCACTGTCTAGATAGACTATCCTTTCTTTATTTTTTGTCTTTTTGAGAGAGGGTCTTGCTATGCAGTTCAGGCCAGCTGTGAGCTCACTTTGTACCCCAGGCTAGTCTTGAACTTCCAGTGATCCTCTTGCCTCAGCCTCTAGAGTGCTGGGATTACAGGCGTGCACCACCATGCCCAGTTTAGATAGAGTATCATTCTGAGGAGTGACAGATTGATATTCCAAAAAAAAAAAAATTTAAAAATAGCCCATGGAGAAAGGATGCCTTAACATCTCTTTGTTCAGAAGAATGTATATGACTTTCATGTTCATGTTTCTCACATTCTTTAATCACAAAATATTTTAATTTCATTTAAAGTGAGACTCCAGGGTTGGAGATGTATCTCAGCAGCTCAAACACCTGCATAAAGTGAGACTCATCTCTAATTTATCTCTGAAAATCCTGTGATTCCAACATGTGACCTGGTTCAAGTTCAAAACCCTGATTGGTCTAATTAGCATTGAACTTGACTCTTGGTCAGTGTTCTTCCTTAAAACTCTGTTCCTTCTTCCTTATTTATCTTAGCAACTAGCATTTAACAAAGTGTGTGGCTAGAGGGAAATGAAAGAGAGGAAGGAGAAAATGAGCCTCTGATTTTGGTGAAATTAGGACAATTCAGCATTTTCTTCTTTCTTATTTGTGAGAAAGGAAGACATTGACATTAATTTGGTTTGCTATTATTCTCTGTGGTATCAGAACTTTGAGACTGCATTTATGAAAAATATTAAAAATTATCAGAGTAATATAAAAACGGATAGGGTTCTGGCAGAATTCATCAGGTAAAATCAAAATAAGAAAACTAAGAAAGAAACCATGGACTTTGTCAGTCATTGACTGACACAAACCTAGGGAGTGAGTCTTATTTTCTTTTCCTCTTTCCTGGCACATAAATATTATCCCATGTGTAGGCAGAGAGTAAGAAGGATAGTTAGGAGAGTGTTGTCAAAGTGCATTTGACATGTTTTGTGTTTGTGTCAGAATATATGTATTCAGCTTCTTAAATGCTTTTTTGTTATTCTCTCCTTCCCAACAATATCAATTTAGGCTGCTCTTATCCTAAAGTATTATATCACAGCAAGCAGCCTCAATGCCTTCTTACTAATGCCATCTAGTATATACCTTTTTATCAGCGTTTAAGACTTTTCTATATTAGAAAAAATGTAAATAACTTTTAATGAGTATGCAGTCTTTCAAAAATGGCCCAGAGTACTTAATTGTTGAATGCTGAAAAGATAATTTTTTTCTGACAAAAAGAAGCAAAGAAGGTATCATATGGGCAAAAACGTAAGAAGATTGTGTGATAGAAAAAGATATAGCAGAATGTTGAAAGAAAGAAAGGAGGACTCCACTATATTCTTTTATTTACTTCTTATCTAAGACCTCTGTGTTGGGAGTCCTTAAGAACATACTTCCTTCCCCCTGCCAGAACTGGGGATTAAACTCACAGTGAGTTTTCACACTAAGGCCCACCCTACAGTCTTTATTTTCATTATTTTATTTTGAGACAGGGGCTTACTAAGTCACCAAGTTTCTTAGGCAGGGCTTGAACTTGTTCTGTTGGCTCAGGCTCCCAGTGTCTTGGATTATAGCGATATGCCACCATGTCAAGAACAGATCCACATTTGACTATTTAGTAGAACTCTGCATATAGGTATCTGTAGTTAAAACATTTATTACATTTCTGTTGTAAGGTTTTAAGGCCAGAATATAATGAAAAATGCATTCATAACCCCCATCCATGACTAAATATGAGGATTTTCATGAAACATACTCTTTCCAACAAAAAAAATGCGGTGACATGAGTATAAAATCATTACACACAGACACCAATTAGAAGCTCACTGTCCAACGAACTTTTTCTGGATGGGTCATGTATGCACTTTCTCACATGTACCAAAATTTCAGGTTCATAGAAAGAAAGTACTTGTTTAGCAAAATGGGTCATTTAAAATGAGGTTCAAATAACTGCATTTCTTTAGTTGGTGCGTAAGAAATGTAACCAAAAGTTAAATATTAGTGCTATTATTTTTATGAAAAGAAAGTGATTTGCAAAGCAATGCTTTAATTCGGTTCTCTTATTTCTTGTCAGGATTTTTATTACTATCAAAGTGCTTTTAAGCTTTTAGACAAAGAGTGGAGCAGATCATCTAATATTCTTCATGCTTCCTGAGGTAGTCAAGCTAGTGATGGCTTACACAGTTAAAATAACCTTAGGAAGCCTAAGCAGAAGTGCATACACTCAAGCAAATAAAACAACTGTCACAACCAGAATGAACGTGCATAAATTCTAATTTCTGACTCACCGACCACTTTAGAATGGTTGTGATAACAAAAGTGAAATGAACAGATCTTCAGAGGAAATGCACTCTCCCTTTCACTGAGTACATCATCTCAATTAAAATACACTATTTCATGGACTTTGGTATACTACAGGGTAAAAATGACTTTATCATATTAAATCATGACACATGTTTTTCTTTCATTTTGAAAAATGTAGATTCATTTTTTCTGAATCTGTTTTGACTTATTTTGCATATGACCCAGTTGTTTTAAATAAGATGATTGAAATTAATCTAGTGGGATTCTTTGATTTCACTTTTATCAAGAAATAGATATGTTTTATTTTTCTTACAGGTATATAAGTTCAACCTCTTAAACAATTCTGTTCTACTTTTTCTTATTCCAAATACCTTAGTGCAGGTCATTTTTATTCTAAACTCTTGAATTAGATCAACACAGTAAAGGCTTCCCTACCTGTAGCATCAACACCATGTTCTTCCCTCAGGTTTGGAAGCATGAATATTCGCTTTGCATCTGGACGTAAGCTCCATATCAAACATTCCCAGAAACTTTCCCATTCACTTGATAGTCCCTGTGTGAATGAGATTCTTTTCAAATAAATTGTTTTCAGAGGAACTTCTCCACCTGCCCCTGCTTCTAATTACAAATCATCCCAATCCATCTTCATGCTTCAGGGTTTTTTTCTTGGCATCCTTTCTCCCCAAACTTCAAATTTTGGCATCAAGGGGCTGGCAGCAAACTGAGAACTGGTGCTAGAAACACAAGAACCAGAGGTCACGAGAGTGAGGAGGACAGTAGGACTGCTTGATCCGATCTGTCTCCCAGCACCAATGGTCTAACATTCATTAATGCAGGTATTGTTAATTAGATTTCTGTCTTAGATATTATTACTGAGCTCGAATCAATGGAGTAGCTTCTATGGGTCAATTTAAACAAGGCTCAGTCATTAAACAGTATGGAGAGACCTCTTATACTAAGAAGGCAATATGTGATATGTGTAAGATATTCATGCATCATTTTTGACCCAGAATGCTTGAAAATATAACCAGATAAAAAAGTTATTGATGTGCATGCAGATTATACAAAAGCATTTTGGTCACAGGGAGAAAAGCTGAAATACTCAATAGCAAAGAAATATTTATACAATACTAAAACATTCATACATTAAAATATTAGACATTTTAAAAGTTGTGGGAGGAGGAAGAAGGGGATGATAAAAGAAAGAAGGTGTGCTATGTACATGTACCGACTTCCACAAAGAATGTAATTATTATGTACTGCAAGCATGTGCTGATACACTGAAAAACTTATGTTCATACAAATAAAAATACTAATAACTTGAAGAAAAGATGATCACATCATGTTAAGAAAAAATATAATGCTTATAAACAGTATGTTCTCAGACATGTATAGACAGGGATCAATAATAAAATAATGCATAAAAAGATATTCATTACCAACTGCTACTATATCGTGTTCTTAGTTCTTTATTATTTAGGGAAAAAGTAGTCATTTTTAAAGATATTTTAACATGCCCATGGGCAGGTCCTAGTGACATGAGATATGTTTTCCTTATGAACAACTTGATAAGACAAATTCTTTTTAATTAAAAAGAAAATAGTACACAAAAAGAACAATAGCAAAACACAAACAAAAATAGCAAGGACATTAAAAATGATACAGTGTTTCAAACCAAATGATAGGTATTAACAGTGGTTGCTACATTACATATAGTTATGTTCAATGAAGTTGCTCCAATTACCAGATGTAAGAATAGAAGATTGATCAAACCATTACAGGGAATAAAAAAATAATAATTTAGGCAAATTTTAAAGCAGAATATATATAGAATACTCAATTTTTAAAAAAAAAATATGTAAAAGTCAGATTGAAGCACATATTTGTTCTGAATCTGAGATTTTTCCAGACTAGTGCAGCTTCTTGTCTCAACCTGAGCTATCGTTGTCCACTACAGTGTGCTCCCTGACCAGTGATTCCCCCCCACCGCTCACACAGATTTTCCTTATAATCGGGACTTTTCTTGGACACATCATATTTCAGTGTCTTCTCTAATCTGCCTGGAAAGATCTTGCATGATTTTTCAGTAAATTATACTTCTGCTTGCCTCCACTTTAATTCCTTTCTGTGTCCTTTTATTGTACTCCAGTTGAGATAACAAACTAGGACAGCTCCCAAATAGCTACTCCATTCATTGGAGCATTGTTTACTTCATTTCCTTCATCAATGATTTATATTTTCTTGAGCAGATAGAACTGCTTAGGCGGCAAGAGGCCCGACTGATACTTCCTTTGGAGATAGACTCATGTAAAATAGTTATTTCTCTGAAATGTTTTCTTTTTCTTCAAGTTAAATCACACTGGATGCTCTTATCTTGAAATTAAATTCCCTTATTTTGCTGAATTGGACTCAGAAGAAAATACAGCTGGTAAAAACAATTTGAGTGTAAGATGTAACATAGCAAGATTTCTTTTACAACTCCCTCCTTCTTACATGAAGAGGAAATTCCTTTACTTTCTTATTATTACAGAATCAAAATTCATGATCTATTGGAAAAAAATAAACTCCAGAAACTGCTTTAAAAATAAATGTGCATTATAATGAAAATGTTTGAATTCCAGTTGTAAGACTCACGGGATGCAAGACCTTAAACAAGGTGCTTATACTAGATACCCTTCAAGTTCCTCCTGTGGTCTCAGAGATGCCTACTTAACATTGTTCTTATGAAAGTAAATAAATTCAAGCAATGATTTAAAATTAATAGGCCTTAAGCACATGCTTGCTACCTTTCTGTGGTGGAAGCTATTGCTCTTCAGCAAAGACTCACTGTGTAAATACATAGATGCCAATAATATGGACCAGAGTTTTGCAAAAAGAAAAAGTGTCCTTGGGCAGCTGCCTAACAAACAAGGCTGGAAGTTTAAAAGGAGCTCAATTTTTCCTCCTTGATCAGCTGGTAGCAAAGGAATTTGTAGAACGTTAAAGAGGAGAAGTGTATTCTTTGGATGGTAAGAAGAGATTTGTAGGGTTCTTCGAGTAGGCCTTGAAGGGTTCTCATGCCTCTCCCAGGCTGTGTGGTCCTTTCCAGGGGAGATAAATGTCATGTTCCTCATTGGGCATTTTGAACCTATGATGCTATTGACAGGAAGGGCTCCCTTCTATTTTTAAAGTCTATTCTTGACAAGCAGGTCCCCAAATACCCTTGAGTGGAGCCTGAAGGATTTTCCAAAGTTTAAGAACTCTATTATTTGAGGAGTTTATGTCCAAGTGTGTCTATCCCCTACCGAACTTCACTGTAACAATCTGATCCTTGAAAAAATAGTGTGTGGCATAGAAATTCTTTTGTTGTAGGCATATGTTCAGACATGTGATAAAACAGGAAAATTTTAAAAAAGAATAATAGTGTGAAGAACAGTGGATTTCATCAGGCATGGAGGAAAACTTCTAACCAATGATGATAATAGTGCCTTGTGTGGTTTTGCCTTTTCAAATGTAATAAAATAAAGATGTTTTCATCATATAATGTGAACATGCTTTGAGCTATGTGGAGAGATTGAGGAGAGAAGTTTAACCCTATAATTGTATTCTTAGAAAGTAGAATTTTTCTCCTACTCTTCTTCTCTCCTTTTTAAAGTTCAGTTAGTGGGGTTATGCAATGTAAACTGACTAAAAAGCAAATTAGCCCATAGAAGGAAATATATATATGAATACCATCATTAAATATGTAAGATCTCATATATATATGAGAGATCACTAAATATGTGACTTGTCATTGGAATTTAAAGCATTCTGGGAAAATAAATAACTTCTAAATAAATAAATAAATAAATTCTGCACTTATGGAAAAACAAATGATTTGGGTTTACTAGGAAAGATAGATAAGTTGTTAGAATAGACAGGACATTTGATAGTTGCTTGACACTTTCTGACAGTGGTGGCAGATGATTGTCTCTGAGAATAGAATATCAGCTTTTGTTTCTCCCAGGAAGGGGCTTCAGTGTAAGGAATCATGGTTATTTTACCATTGTTTCTTTAAAGACCACTTTACAGTTGAGGGATGACACTCTGAGAGAGAACTTAACTTTCCACCTTGCAAGCTATGCACAAAAATGATGCATATATCACTAGATGATTAAAAACACTTGTTGGGTTTTAGAGAATATCATTTCTTAGACAGTACCAAAAGTAAATACAAACACATACTTTATTCTGATCTTCTTGAGAACTGACATTAGTTAATCTTTATATATTTGTAAATTAATTTTATGTGGAAGGATGTTTCTAGCAATGCCAAGGGCACTGGACTCTGTCAAACAAAAACCTTATGTCAATCTTCAAAGAACACTTGGATATAGTGTATTCAAAATTGAGACAGAGGGACTATGGAAAAACCATGACCTGACAGAAGTATCCCCGAGATGACATTTCTAGCCCCCATCCCACACTGATATAAAATAAATCTTGGTCTTTCACTTTGATGGCTCAGTCTGTTTCTGAACTTGGCTGCTGCTCCCTTGCATTGTATCAATAAACTCTTAACTTTTCTATATTCCTTTCCTACAGGTAAATTCTTACCACCCATAGCACCAGCCTTTTACCTAACCACCTCCCCTGGCATTAAGACAGTTGAGTTCTCTTGGAGACTCTACTTTTACATAGAGGACTTTCAGGAACTCAAATGTCTTTACCTCTAACTTCTAAGCCAAGAGGCTGGTTCAGGATCCTTTCATTATGTTCAAGAATAGAGATTCACACATTATAAATCAGAGGAAGAACTGAAGATTATGAACAGGAGATGCAAATGAAGTCAGCTCAATTTTACTGAGCAATGCAAAAAAGAAAGGGAGGGTGTAATAGACCTTTAAGGAAAACCAAAACTGGACAGTAAAATGCTAAATATATTTTATCCAGAACGTATTACAATATGTGGAACAGCACCTCCATATAGAATGACTCAATTCTGAATACAGGAAAAACAAGCAGAGATGGATGGTCAAGCCTGGGATTCAGTGGGTATAGAATTAGTAAGAAGAAGCAACATGGGTAAGGAGAGGATTCTGGTGAAACCCACTCACAAGATTCTTACTAATGATACGCACAGATGATCAGACACTTCAAGAGAGGGATAAGGAATTTGGTTAGATATCAAAAGTGATCATATATTACAGATGGGACATTCTCTTCTCTTTAACTTAACAAGTTTTTAATTATAAGAAAAAAAGAAGTCCAGGAGGAAGGTTTGGTAGAGAGGAGGGTGTGGAGGAGGATGTGTCTAAGATTTAGTTAGAGAGGAAATAGGAAGAAACGCTAGCACATCAGAAACAAGAGGCAAAAGGAATGAACTTCTGGTATTCTTTACTTACTGAGAACTTATTATCTCTGGTTTCTTTCATCTCAAAAATTTGTAAGCTTGAAACTTATCCCTTGGTGTACACATGAATTAATATTTCCTGGCAGACATGCTATACTTTTAGATAGCAGGCAATTTAAAACTCAAGCACTTGTATGGGGAAAGAGTTACTAAACCAGCAGGATGAAAGACTGGTAAGGTCAGAGACTTAGTGGAGAACAGTATTCATCATGAAGGGAAAACTTCTAAGTGGTTACTCTTGAATGAACTGAATTGCTCACTGTGAAGATTATCTACTGCAAAGAAGTTGTCAGAGTTTTTTAACTTCTTTCCTAATGAAGCCTTTGAATTTGAATTATACTGTCAGACAAAAATGGGGGTAAT